CTCACTAGCATTTTCATGTACGCGTTGCACAAATAAAGCGCTCATCATACTACTCACACACTCATACACGCTGGCAGTGCAATTTGCTTGGTATTCCATTCAGATTCGCTTCGACAACAACTGCTGCATTTAACTGTTAGCTATTCTATCACCGTTATGCATAAGTACATTTCCGAGTTTACATGTGTTTGTATGTATCTAAGCGCTTGCAGGCATTCAATTTGGACATTGTTTGTATCCATTGACTGCGAACTCCAGTGAACTTGCCAGTGGGTATATTCACACAAATATGTACACTGATCTTGTCGGGAGTGTCGGTGGCGCAAGTGACTACTTTGACAATGCAAATGAAAATATTGTATATTTCTTATATCAAAAAGAGTTTTTTTTTGCATTCAATGAACACGAAAGTTGGAATATATCCTTTTGCGGTAACATAATGCTCTAAATGAAATCTTGATTGTGTTTTTGCTATCTCTTTTTAACTAATATTGGCATATATATTTGTTGTATCTTTGTACTTAATTGAAGTCTTTGTTTACCATAATTAGACTCCACTATTCAATTGAAAATATAGGTACAATCGATTTTCACATGCTTTTCTCATTTGCCACAGACATGAACAGTTGGTAGTCAATCCTGACTTGAATACTAATTGCGCCGGCTCACTGCCATCTTTTTCATTTGAATTTGTAGTAATGAATCCGTTTTTCATCACCAGCAACCATACGCTTAAGAAATGAGCCGATTTTGTTACGATTCGGAGCGGTTCGTAGATGAAGTCGGTCCATGAGTTTTTTTCACGTTAACTCGAGCTACTTTGTGTATCCAGGCTTTTTCATTGGTTCCAAACTGTTCCTTGTGCAACATTTAGCTCCTTTGCGAAACAGTGCTTTCATTACGGTCAGACTCTACGGTTTCTATTATTTTATCGTCATTTTGGACAATTGGCACTGTGGACCATCATTTACACCAAAATAGAGTTGAGTGATGAACACTTATCCCCTGATCTTCAGTACAAAATATCATATTTCTGGCGTCATCTATTATAATCCACTCCCACTTATAGAACGTGAGATAGAGACCAGTAGAGCCATCTGTTGCAAAAATAATGGATTTCTTTTTAATTCATATTTTAGTATTTCATTTTTCTGTAGTTGGCGAAGTTATCAAGAAAATAAATTAAGCTTTTTCACAAAATTCTTTTATCAATTTCCTATGAAAAGTACAGTTATTTAAACCACTTCTTTTGAATGAAATTATTAAAAAATTTTATAAAGCAAACTGCCCAGAAATTCGCCGAAATTTATCTTTTTTTTCTTTACTCAAAAACTGCTAAATGTCCAAAAATTAGCATTTCCTTTGGAAATGTCTAAAGTGATATATTTACTTGCTGTTTACTTATGAACTCTAACATAAACATACAAATTTGAGTTGCCAAAATATAAAGTTTTGCTTGTTCAGTTATGAAACTTTTCTCTTTTTTGAATATAAAAGATTTGCATAATTGTGGGCGCAAACTTGAAACACTTGTCTTTTGAATAAGAAATTGGTCATACACATCGGTATGTATATATAAGTCATCCAGCTGTTAATATTACGGCTAACCGCACTCAAATTTTAAGCTCCTTTGCCTTCGATTCATATAAAATTTTCTTTCATTCACTTTGCTGGGTTCTTGCAAAAAGTAAATCACCAAAGCTGCACAAACACACAACTTTCACAATTTGCACAGTTCTATGGAAAATCTGGAAAGTGTGCAAGAATTTTAGATTTTCGGTTTCAACTCTCTCCCCGTCTGCACATAACCAATGTGACCTTGTATAAAACCCTCAAGGCAAATATGAGACTAGTCAAAAAATACTAGTTTCCCGACTAAGCCCAAAATAGTCTGAGAGTGGGAAGACAGTACAGACTAAAAATTTCTGCTCATTAGTTGATGGCTTTAAGTTATTTCATATAATATTATAATATACCTTAAGAATAAATTTTATGAATATTTTTTTAATTGGGACATTCTCGAAAAATGCCTCCACCTGCGAAATGGAATAAAAATGCAGCTGAATACCATCGAAAGTTTGTGGAAGGTTTTAGTGAATCTGCGCCGAACCGATGTGCCAGAAGTGGTGATTTTATCGTCGAAGGCAAAGAGCGTTCTGGCCAACCCGAACAGTTTGAAAATCAGGAATTCTAACTAAACCAGGCGAACCTGTTGTTGTGAAACCTTGTCGACTACAACAAATGCATTTTCGCCGTCTGACGCGGGAAAAACGGCCGAATACGACCGAAAGGCAAACTATCTGAAAATGCTAAAATGGGAGGTCTCACCCCACCCGCCCTACTCTCAAGATATTGCGCCTTCCAAAGAGTGGCCTTTTTGACAAACGCAAGACGATATGAATAGCTCAAGAACTGAATCGCGGAAGAGGGGACTTAATTTTAAGGAAGGTATTCGAAAATTACCGAAGAGATGGGAAAAATTAGTCGCTCCGACGGACAAGATCTTAAATAATGTACAATATCTTTAATATATGTTTTTCAATGAATAAAAGGACCGCATTATTTTGTAAATTTAATTAGCAAACCAGTTCTGGTGTAGTTTTTAACTAGTTCATGTGACAGCAGTATGTTGAATTCATATGGGCGTTAGTAAAAATTAAATTAAACTTTGGGCTTTTCTGTGCTTGAGTACACTCCATTCTTAGCTGAACTGACCCAATGCAAAGTAAGCTATGGAATGCAAATCATTGCATATATTTAGGCGACATTATAAGTTTGTGGCATACTTTTGCATATTTTGCGAAACGTTCAATGAGCGTGTGCTCGTGCGTGTGTTGAAAAGTGCTAAATTTTATTCTCAAAGCTGACTGAATTATTCAAAAGAGTGTGGGGATGGAGCTAAAGGAATATGAAATGTGAAAGCAACAGCATAAGTAATTCATACAAATTGCAAATGTGGTGAAAATTTATTGCTACACGCACAAATCATTGAAGGAATGTTAAAAACTCAGTACTATCATATGATAAGAAAAGCTTACGTAAAAATTTTAAATATGAATAAAGGTTAAAGCAAAGGTTTTTACCTCTTATGTATATGTAAGTACCAGAAGGAGAAGCGATGGACCCACCAATATTTATACTGGTGATGACCATGACGAATGACGAGGACTTGAGTTGATTTAGCCATGTCCACCTGCCCTCAGCTCTTCTCTCTTGTCATATCTTAATAACATTATTTATATAAAAGTACTTGTCTATAATAATTCAGATATGTACTATGTACATAATCGTACATGTGAGTAATAGAAATGGAAAAATAAAGAAAATAATTCCAATTAAAAAAATATTTATGTATATAAAAATAGCTAAAATTAAGTGATATACATATATATGTAAACAAATTTGTTGTTTTCTATGAAGTGTTAGTAACAAAAACCCATCGAAGTAAAATATCAAGAGATGAAGTCAATAAAACTGATTTAAACACTTTAATCAACAGGCTTTTGTTCATTATATGCTTTCCATATTCCGTTGGCTTTAAAGCTAACCTATTTTTGTATAAATAACCAATATTTTTCTGTTTAATTCATTTTAATAATTTTCGGTTAAATTTTCCCCTTTTTGTACGAAGATATTTTCTTTATTGATGACGTCACGTTGACACTTTGAAATACCAACAATGATGGTACCACATACTACACATCGCTACTCATACTTACACGATGCAGCTCTCACGCGACTCCTGTATCAGTTTAATATAAATAACGGTTCACGAAAATGCAAAACCCAGGAGTTTTCCTTTGGCTTTTATTTCGTAACCACAAATTACCAAAACGCAGCCAGAAACTTTGATTTATAAATAAAGAGATAAAATTTAATTTTATTCTTCTTCGAAGTATCCTAAATAGCCTATTGCAAAGTACAAAGAAATCTCATAAATTTTAATTTCCTTCGCCGTCAAGTGCGTTCAGCGCTCATCTATTGCACCATTTTTCCATTACAAGTGCTGTGGCTAATCTTCGTCTGCTACGAAATCCAATAAACTTTTCATTTCATAATGTCAAGTGGGTAATGGCAGACCGTAATTGCCACTCGTGTTGCATACATTTAGGCGTTTGAGCTAATTTGTGTTACTTTGCCGTTTTTGTTTGTATTTATCTCTTTTTATTGCGCCTTTACTTTCGTTGTTTTCAATCAAACTTTGTTATGCGCCAATGATGCAGATACTTCAGTTCAGCTATGAACTTTTTCTGCTTGCTGTGCTGTGATCGAGTTTCACACCAACTGCTTGCCAACGTTTTGCAAATCTTTGGGTTTTCTTTGTTTGCAATTAAATTAAATTTCACTTTCACTTTTCCTTTCTTTTTTCCGCAGTATCTTTCCCCTACCTTCGAACGCAAAACTTTTAGGTCAGAGAAGAAATATATGGAAGTTTATGAAATGCGAAAGCATAACGATTGTATACGCATCAAATTCAAAAAAGCTTACTGGATTTTGGGCCTGTCTCTTGCTAGATCAATCGCTATTCAGTATTAGTACTTGGCGCAAGTACATCTGGTGTGAACTTTAGCGGGTTTCCCTTGCTCTTAAATAAAGATATTTACGCCCATTGTTACCTTTGATTCCCAGCGAAAAATCCCGAGTACTCCACGTATGCATGAGGCGTATACCCCAAATGGATAAGAGAGTACTCCAGAGTCTAAATTAAAATTAGGGCTGGCCAATGTATTTGAAGTTTTATACGAGATTTAAAGCAGCCTGGGGGAGAAGCGCGTACTACGTATTCTACTTTTTCTTCAATAAAAGCGAAACACCCTCAGCTTATGGCTATGTTACTCCAACAGTTAATCATGCACAACTTTGGTTTCGCCGACTTTGCTCTGGTAATTTTGATGTAGGAGCATCTTCTACTGTTGTCGAGTCGGCCATCAGTGCAACCAACCAAAAAAAAAGAGCTTCGAACCACTTGGACAAGGCTGGATACCAAAAGAAGATCGATGTATTGGTGCCATATGAGTTAGGGAAAAGAGATCTCACGCGCCGAGTATCCGTCTGCGATTCACTGCTGAATCATAATAAAATCTACCGAATTTCCGAAACGGAATGTGAAACATAATGAAAAGTGGAGTGGCTCACTTCCATTGGCAAGATAAAAAAAAACCGGTTATTTCCATAAATATATATCTGAAGGTTCAATAATGGTATTTAGTTCAAATTTAAACTTCTAACACTATAGATGTCATGAGAAGCGCGCCTTCTCTAGGGTTAAGATCTAAACATATTGAAGCTCTCAAATAAGGGGTATAAAACATGAATAATTCGAAATGAAAAGCAGCTGGCAAATTGGTATTGGCTGGTATAAAATTACTTACTGTTACTTTTACTGTTATTTAATGAAAGCTGAGATTTTTAATTCAGTCATTCCCATTACTACTTTATTATAGTTGTTTAACACCTAGCGCACACTATTTTAGTCTACAATATTTGCGCATAAAAATAAAAATAATATATAAATATTTCGCTTCGCATGGCCAGTTTGTTAAATTTTTAACCGTTATTTCGAAAGTGAAGCTCCAGTTGGTCAGGTTGCTCCATTTCTAGGAGATTTTTTCGTTAGTATCCCCGCCAAAGCCCATTTCATTCATAAATGTATACAATGTAAATGAAAATTTTGCCAACTATCAGAAGAAAAATAAACAAAATAATTTCAATCAAATTATCTCGCACACATTACAGTCAAAATTTCATTCAGACTTACCGAAAGATTTGTTCTCAAATTGATTTGAAACAATTTAATTGCAGTAAAACAGACATTTACTTGAGCGCGTTGCATAAAAAAGGTTAACAGCGAGCGTGAATGCCTATCCAAATTCAACCATTGGCAATGAAAAATGGCCAAAGGCAGCTTCACACATTCAGCCTCCAGCATTGATGCTTGAAAACAGGCACCACCTGTCTGCAACAGCACGCCCATGTAGTAACCAACCGTCATGATCTGACCGGCCCTATCCGCAAATATTAGAGCATTTAACATACACACGCAGAGAATCATAGCTGCGACGGTGAACTGCAAGAACAACGTTAATGATGTGACAGCACTAACGACTTCCACGACCCTTAAGTAGTATTGTAAAATATTACAGAAATGTTATCAAACACATACATGTAGTGACGCACAAGCAGCCACGCACACACCTCATTAATTCCTGATGCGACAGTATACAATCGACCAACTCCTGGTGATTCTCTTCGGCACTCAAATCCGGGTTACTGCCCAAGCGGCTGATACGTCCAGCCAAGAGATGGACATGTGTGCGTATGGCACGTATGTAAACCGCCGGATAGACATCGCATATAAGACAAACCAAAATCAGAAAATATAAATAAAATGCCTCCACTGAAAATCGCGCCCAATATTGCCAGCCTTGGTGCGGTATTAATTCCACAAATGGCAACCATAACGAGTATATCAGCTCGCCTGCCATTATAGCTGTAATCCAACTTAAAAACGCGAATGTGAAATAAACGAAAATATAGATATATATTATGCGTCTGCAAATCGCCACGCTCTCGTCTATTTGTGCGCGTTCCTCAGGGTTGTGATAGCGCTCATCCAAACGCTTGAAAATATCTCTAAGGCTACGTAAGCGCTTCAAGTGGAATTTAATGATGACCACTTTGAATAGCAGAATTGATACATTAATATCAGTTTGAAGAATATTCAGCGCTGATGCCATGGGTAGAGTTTTCAAAGCCCTCAGAAACCCCATGTTGTAAGCAGCAGGACTGTAGAGCAACAAAGCCCAGCAGCAGAAGACATGAAATAGCTGAAAGAAGCCGTACGATCTCGAGTGTTCGACGCCTATTATTTTCCAAATGAGGAATAATAGTTCAAATGAGTCGTTGGTGCCAGACTTAACTACCAAGCGACGACGGCCAAAGATGTATTCCATGACTCTGTGCATCTTTCCTGCTGATTTCTTATATTCGAAGAAAAGTTTTTATAAATCGTGCGATTTCTGAAAGGGCAAGAGGGTATTTTATGGAAAAATTTTGTGAGATTTAATCTGGTTTTGCGCATTTACAAAAACAAAAAAAAATTCAATTAAAATCCCTTAATTTAGGGTATTTTTTAGAGCCTTTTATGCACAGATTTTCTTTATTAAACCGCAATCTACCATAAGCTGAATTAATTTAAACTCAATAATTGTTATTAAAATGCGTTATTTATTTCCCTTGAGAAACCAATTGCAATAACGGATAATTTTTTTACGCACCGCTCCGTTGCCAACGACCGAATTCACACTTATGACAACTGATTTGTTCTTCGATAAGCTTTTTATACCATTTGAAGGAGAAAAATTAATAAAAGCAGTAATTGAAATAATTGAAAGTAATATCTTTTAATTTCAGCTCGAAAATTTGAAATTGTCACTATAAGAAGGTTTCAACAGCCTTAGTAACTCGTTGAAAGTTATGTCCCATGAAAAACGAGACTGTTTTTATTCACACAAAAATTCCAAGCTTACAATGAATTACTCATCCTAGATGACTGCATCTGTACTTTCCAACGTTGCACTGCCAGAGTTCAAGTTCTGGCCCGACCAACATTCAAAAGCTCTCAAAAAATAGTAGCAGGAGAAGGGTCATCAAAATTTATACCGATCGGATCAGAATCACGAGGAGTTGAGTTCATTTAGCCACAACCGTCTGTCCATCCATTTGTAGTAGTCCAGCTTTTGTTCTTCAATCAATAGTCGAAACCAACTAAATCGGAATCCTATAGCCAAAATACGAAAATATTTTTTGAGTTTTAAATTTGTAAAAATATAAGAGAATATAAATTATGCTTTCTACAAATAAACATTGACAACTAAATTATCGAAATTGAGAATTAATACTTGATCATAAAATGAAATACAACAATTTTGTTATGACCATGAAGGATATAAGAACCTCGGCAGCTCTGCTTTCTTGTTCTAAATGCGATCGCCCCTAGATAAATTTTGTACAATTTTTTTCTAACAAAAAAAGCGTGCAGTAAATGCGGGGTCAAGTCACTCTCCACTTGATCCTTCCAACGAAGTGAGGGTCTTCCTCTTCCTCTGCTTCCACTGACTGGTACTGCATCGAAAACTTTCAAAGCTGGAGCACTCGCATCCATCCGGACAACATGACCTAGCCAGTGTAGTCGCTGCTTCTTCGCCGTACAACTCGTACAGCTCATCGTTCCATCTGCGATATTCGCTGTTGCCAATGCGCAAAGGACCATAAATCTTACGCAAAACCTTTCTCTCGAAACCTCATAAATCGACCTAAAATCGACCGCGAAGTGGTGTGTGTCGATCCTCTTTTCACGGGTCTTTGTCAAGATGGCACGTGGTGAATATCTGGTCAATAGTTGGCTTACTAGGTCTAAGGTCCAATCAGTTTGTTGCAAAGTAGCTGATGCATGCACCTTATCAGCTCTTCACCGCCATGTTTGAATAGTTCTGCCGGTAGGCCGTTAGCTCCCGTCAGCTATTCGAGCTTCTTAATGGTCAAATAATGGAACGTCTTTTCCATCGTCATCGTTTGGGGTTTCGGGTTCACCATCTCTGGATTCTCTATTTTCACTATTATTCAGCAGATTGGAGAAGTGTTCCTTCCATAAATTCAGTACCCTCTGGACATCAGTGGCTAGATCACCTCTTTGCGCCCTACAAGAGCCTGCTCCGGTCTTGAAACCTTCTGTAAGTCGCCGTATCTTTTCGTAAAACTTTCGAGCATTACCCTTGTCAGCCAGCTTCTCAAGCTCTTCATACTCACGCATCTCAGCCACTTTCTTTTTCTTATCTGCAGATGCGTCTTGCTTCCCTCTTCATCTCTCGGCATCTATCCCACCCCGCATGTATTGTGGTCGATCGCAGCGTTGCGAGGCAGGCAGTCTCTCCCCACCGTGACACGGTGGTCCAACTGTTTTTGCGATCTTTCCGAAATCAATGGTTTCATTTCCAGATGTACGTAAGGATTTTGAAATGTCGTCGCACAGTTCCAGGTTGCTGATGAGTGCTCGCAGAGAGCAGGTGTACAAGTCGAGTAGAAAACCGCTCGGCAGTCTGTTGTGATTTGCAGCTTTCCAACGTGGAACGTTTCTTGTATCTATCACAACGATTTGGTTAAGGGTTTTTGATCTGGAGACAGCCGAATAGTTTGATTTTTTTATGCTGGAATCTAGTGCTACATACATCCCTTCTTCAGGCTCCGGGGAAGTCGATCAGCATCAGCGCATTTGGGGATGTTTTGTCGTGAAGGTTGAATTTTCCGACTGTTGTCCCAAAAAATATCTTCAGTGCCCACCCTGCCAAGCACAACTTTGACATCGCGGCGGGGTAGCGCTCATTAGTGTGTTCGAGGTGCTCGGACATCCTTGGACAAATCATACTTCTCTGCCGTCGTGGTGTGGGTGAAACAAGGCGTAGTGATGCGGGTTTGTGGCGCGACGTTCATCCCACTAGGAATCCAACACCAAATTGGCGCTCCTTTAAATGGCCGCTGAAGTTAACTTCACAAGGACCCCTTCCTCCGTCCTTGAACCATATGCATAAGAACGTTACTGACCACTCCCAGGTGAATGGCAGGCAAAAACTTTCCTCACTTGCGTGAACTTCTGCACATGGTCCGTTACGTTGACTTAATCGAAATATGCATACAATTACTCTTATTAAAACTTTGAAGGCAGACCCATCATTTCCGGGTATAAATATTTTTGTATGTGCGTATGCATGGTATACCCTGCAACAATAAAAGTATCAGAGCGTGTTGGTTGATTGGTTATTAGGAAAAATATTAGTTTTAATAAACCGCTCTCGGTACGAATATGTAAAGACCAGCAATTAAATAGTGGTGCAATAATGAATTCAATTAAGTTTTGTATTGAACTTAAAAATTTTGCAATTTAAACGATTTCCTTGCTCACTTCAGTATCATTCAACTGAAAGTATATATTTATTATATTTACTCTCTTTTCTGACGTAGTTATGATTTTATTGCAGGATTTAACATAAAGCCTACACCAATTATAAATTACTTGTCACTTTAATTAACTTCCTCCACCTTTTCTATCGGTGTTATTTTCTAATATTTTTCTTTAGTATCGCAAACTCGGATTGCAATCGTTCGCTCTTCCCCCCTCATTTTCAAATCTGTTTTGGCTTTTCTGTAGCTATTAACTTTCGCTTTTCTCTCTATTCAAGCGATTCCTTTGTTCGAGGACATGAAAAATCCCTTGATCCTGGCTTACGTCTGACACCAGAGTAGAGACTCTACCGGCCAAATCGCCAGATGCAATATGCTGTTGTTTTTCTATTTTAAGAATTGATTTTTCTTTCAAGTGTCTCTGTTGTGCTTGTTTCTGTCAAAGCTGCCTTGACCTATTTTCGAAGTATGCCAATGCTCTTATCTGAGACTACCAAAAAATCCAACTGAACATAACACTTTTGTTGGCTTCTTTGTTGTAGACTACTCATCTTTTTTGTAGAAATACTCTTGGAAATCTCATAACTTCCACAACATAGCCGAGAGGCTTGTCAAGGCAAGTTCAAGTAACTGGTTTGGTTACTAAATTGGCTATCAGAGTGCAGTTGGGCGCTGCTTTTCATATATTTTTCATATATGTTTGGGCGTGTACATATTTATGAATGTTAGGGGTGTGTTCAGCAGCGAGTTGTTTGTGGGCTTGAACAGTTGACTGGCTAGTAGACTACGTCATATTACGGGTTAAGCAACTGACGGTTTAGGTTTGCGCTGCATAAAATCGAGAAATATTTACTTTTATTTTTCTTGGTTTGGTTCTTGCCTTTAGGATTTTTAAATAAAATTTTTAACAAATTGTTGAATAACATGGCTAGCTCGAAATGCCCATCGGCGTGGAAAACTTCAAGTGGCCAGTAACTAAATGTCGACATACAAATACATAAGCACAAACACTTACTTTCTTGGCTAAAGCGAAATGAGGACGACGTAGCAGAAAGGGAAAAAATAAATTTACACAAAATTACTTTTTTTCAGTAAAAGCAACAATAATAATACTAAAAACGTCCGCTTTCATCAGCGAGTGACCAGTAAAAATCTCGAGGAATAAAATGAGAAAAAATATGAAATGAAATAAAAATTGTTTGCGGAAAATATCAACGAGTGGCCAGCAGAAATGCAGCATGACATACAAATTTGTAACAGGACATCGAGAAAAAAATTAGCAAGACTCACAAGTGGTTGAGCTTACAGCCAGCGGCCGGCAACAGGCAATTGTGTGGATTACTTAACGAAAATTTCAATTTTTCCCTTTCAGTTGCTTTAGAGATTTTTTTGTATTCAGTTTCTCTTTAACGGCTCTTTGCAGCATAAAATATGAATATTTGCCTTCGGTTGACGATGACCTGTAACTTTTTATTTTCAAGTTGCAGTTATTTACTCAATTTTAGAATATTTTTTTTTTTTTTGATGATATGCGAGAAAAATAATAAAAACAGTAAATCAAAAAAAGTACATTTAAATAAATTTATAAACAACATGGCTCATTTGGTTTAATACTATTTTTATTTTATTTTATTTTATTTTATTTTATTTTATTTTATTTTATTTTATTTTATTTTATTTTATTTTATTTTATTTTATTTTATTTTATTTTATTTTATATTATTTTATTTTATTTTATTTTATTTTATTTATTTATTTTTATTTCATTTTAGTTTGTTTTATTTCATTTCATCTTTTTTTATTTTATTTTTTATTATTTTTTATTTTATTTTGACATTGTGTGTTCGGATTATTTTAATCCGATTATGCTCTTCTCGTCTGTAATAATTTTCATTGCGAGTATATTAACTCACTATACAAAAGCACAAAAAGTTTGCTTACAAAAAATGACATTTTTCTTAATTGGAAAATATTTGCTACACTTTAATGATTTATGTTTTTTGTTCGCTTGATTGCTTTGAAATTTCTCCTTTTCAATATTTGAAATATATGCCATTAATAATTTATATAATTGTTGTAAATATTTTGAGGCAATAGAAGGCAGTTGCAAAGTATGGGACGAACTTGGGCCGATTTTTTCATATGCGTTTGTTTTGCTTTCCCCTTTCGCGTCCGTTTTTCAATGCAAATGCACTGTTGTGGTTATTTTTGAAATTTCAATTACTGTAATCAACTCAAAGCCGACAATAATTGAGAATTTAATTAACAGAGCAAAAAATACGCAAAAAAGATGGAATGAAAAATAAATATTTAATTAAGAAAAACGCGGTTACTTTACTTTGCTTATTAATTTTATTTCTTCGCACATTCTCTAACTGTCGTAAGAGCTCGGTAAAGCATTCAATATTTAACCAGATACCTGTCATTGTTTAAAACTTTATTTTTTCCAACAAAAAATTCATAAAATAATTTAATTTCTCAGTTAACGCTTTTCGTGCCTCTGGCTGTGAATGCAGCGGTACTTAAAAAACCTTACCCAAAAACGGTTTCCGCTTTCAACTCGGGGGTTGGAGTCGCAAAATTTCTAATATAATTCAGAATTAATTTTAAATGGTTAAGAGCACGGCATAGTGTTCACCTCCAGAACAAAAATTGAAAGTAGGTTTTCTGGGATTTTTAGCTGGGGACACAGCCATTCATTGCTAACATTTTTTAATACAGTCAAATATTCCACTGCCGTAGTAGGACATACCAGTTTTGATATTACTTGACCTCTTCTAGAAGTTAATTAAAATGACTCGCTGCTCTTTAAGGACTCACTGCTCAGTACGAATGGGGCGCGAATATTCGCAGCGAACAAGATATTGCTAAACACAACATGTTACAAAATTTAAATTTCCAAACTATAAATACAACGGTATAAAAAATGTTGTTTACTTAAGTTAAATTGCTGCTCTACAAACAGAAACAATTTGCAACTCTGCGTGATTGAGGCAAGTTGTTAGTGGTGATAGCGACATTTACATATATAATTTTACCACTTTATAAACACCTCCGAATGGCTGATGGATTTATTTACTTTGCTTTAAATCTTTGCTTTTAATTTGGCTAGAGACGGAAGTCACGGTATTCTAAGGCAGGACATAGTTAGCTATCCTTTAAACATAATATTGTCAAGATACCATAAATATTTGCCAATCACTTAAAGTTTATCTGGTGAAACCTTAGATAAGGTAAAATTCTAGTTTCGTATATTTTTTTTCTCCGAGGTTCTTTGGTTTAAAGACCGTAGCCAACAATTTATGTATGTGTGTAGAATTACAGCACTTTCTATTCCTCTTCCTTTGTTTTGCCTTCTACAGCCAGTTTATGCGTGCTAATTTATTGCCCGTCAACATTGGGCAAATGAATCGCTGCGGAAAAGAAATGCGCTATAAGCAAATAGTCCAGTCAGACAGGTCTAAGCGAAGTCTGAAACATTTGAGCAAACTTCGTAGCGCATAAAACCATTTATCTGGCGTTTCGTAAATACATGTATACACATATCTACTTGTATGGAACACTATGTTTAACAGCCAATCCAGCAGTTGGATGTGACGTACCAGGAAATTTATGACGTCTGAATGGTAGCAGAAAAGTGCGTCAAACGGTTAGGAGATATTTGTACTTTCTGCCAGAGGCTCAACTCTCTTCACTTGCCGTTGTCTACTTGAAATTCAAAAAGTGTAAAAGCACTAACCACTGGAGAAAGGGGGAGGCACAAAGTTTAAAAGACGCTACAGTGCGTATACGCAACACTAACCCGTCTTGTAACTAGAAATTCAGGCCTTTTAATGAGCAGAATTCCAGTGGAAGGTCGAAGAGCAACAGCAGGCTTCTGCATGAATTTACTTGCTTTTGCTAATATTTAAGCTAGCCTACAATGAAAATTATTATAGTAGTTTATTTTAGCATCTTTTAATAGTTAATTTAAAGTAAACCGAAAATTAAAAAATTAAAACTCATACAATTTTATAAGCGAACATTTTTTTTTTTTCAAATCAACGCATTATTACCACCATCGACGCCATCATTCGACAAGCATCTCGCCACCATTCATCCATTCGTCCATAAAATTCCAAATGAATTTCCGCTTTTTGCCATAAATTTTTATTTCATTGCTTTCGTAAATATTGATGAGGGTCATTTGTTGCTATTACACCATGAACCCTGCTACAGTTGTGGTTGCTTCATTTGAGTCTATTGTATTACGTCGCATCGCCATTGACTTTGTTGTTGTGCCATAATTCAGGCCTCCTTGTCCAAAAGCTTACTTTCGGGCATCTTTTTATAGGTTTGACATTTTCAACAGTGTGAAGTATCATTGTTTTCTTTTTTACTGCTTTAATTATAAATTGTATCACGCTCGCAACCGAAATTTTCATTAAAATTTTTTGCTCATCTCAAATAAAATTGAGTTACAAACTTGCGGCGGTAAATAAAGTGAATCAATATGAACAAATAAATATAAAAATTGGACCGTTGACTGATGCGTCGGCTGGTCGGCTAAGGGATATTGCGTGAATCGTTCCCAGAACGTGTAAATATTTCATAATTTTAATATGACTTTATATATTTGTTTTCATTTTTTCGTTTCGTTTGCTTATTTTATTTTCATACTCTTCCTCCCCTCTTCGCCTTCCGCCAATCTTGCCGCTTTTCGGTTAACATTTTATGCGAGGTTATTAAATTTTGAAGGCTCTGAAATATGGGCAATCGGCACTTGTTTGTGCTTTGTGACGTTTTTATTGCTCTCGCTTTCACTAGATGACTCTGTTATTTATGTTTTCCTTTCTTTTCACATTTCGCCATTTCTCACTTCTAGTGCTCTTCTAGTTTTCGGCTGATTTAAGACTTTCTTTTTATTTACATTCTTACAGATCTCCCTTTTCTGTTCAGCATCATTTATTTTAAAGTGTTTATTGGACGCGGATAAGGAGCCTATGCGACTGCGATGGAAATTAAGTTAATTATTGTTAAATTGATTGCAACTAATTCAATAATTATACTGTCGTGTCTCTAATTTGTATGGGCGGGAGCTATAAGCTATTGCTCATTTATTGAACGGCTTTTGTTGATTTAATTTGTATAGAATGAAATTGGGGAAAAATGTTTTTGGAAGAAAAATTCAGTGAAGAATTTTTATTAGCCTCATTTTTAAAATTGAAGGCTATGTACTGTCAGTTTAGGTTAAGTTAAGCAATGTTGGTTGGCTGCTATGTCTAATATGGATTTTGGGTTGCCATTTGAAAAGGTTTTCTCAGCCATTTTACTTCTTCTAGTCCTCTTAACTTCGAATGTTCTCGATATCTAAGGCAGAAAAAAGTGGTGGTGTACATACATTTAACCAGTGAACATCTCCATACACTTCCTGCATGTTTTAATGCCCCTAATGATCGCCTGTGATGCCAGTAGGTGGTGACCTATAATAGTCGTTCAGTCCTTTCGAAACCGTCCGTTTAAGGAAGAATTAGCAGTTTTATGTTTAAAATGGCAGCGATAACCGATTAGTTAGCACTTGTAAAGCTACAAGTAGTTAGCCAACGTCTCGTTATTTTCTATGTTTTCTCGGCACATCGCCGATTCGCTAGGTAAAGTACTAGCTCATGGAGATTCCCCGTTGACATATCCGAAAAAATGCTATTTTCTATTTAGTTGGGCTACTATCCACGCTACTCCACAATAACTTAATGGGCCACTATTTTGAACAACAGAAGGCAGTCGCGGCTGACAGAGTGGCAGTCATTAAGTTTGAAGCTAACTTGGTTATTAGCGTGGTCACAGAGGAACTCTCCGTATCGGATATCAGTATAGTTATGGCTATGGATATCTTCATTGTTACCAATGGAAGCACCTTCCGTGCCTTTTTCGTTAGTGGAGGAGAAACTTTCCGCTTATCCGCCGCATTTTAAATTTAGCCAAAATTCCAGCACAATTTTCTGAATTCCGCCATGTTCTTCACAAGTAAAAGTAAAAGTAAAAATATTTATATGATTTCAATAAATGTTTATAGCTTTTTTTATATATTATTTTATACGAACATATTTTCAATAATCCGTTATATCTTATGCTTCTTTCTAGATTCCACGTGCGGCGTTGAGCAATTCCGATGCAACAATGGCTTCTGCATACCCAAGAGATGGCGCTGCGATCAGGAGAGTGATTGCGCAGATGGCTCCGACGAAGCAGTGTCGCTATGCAGTAAGTTTTTCTGTTTCTGATACCAAAACTAATACACGCACACTGATACACAGAAGTTTTAACAAATTTGTATAAATTCTGGGAAGCAAAAATATAACCACGTTAAAGAGTAATTCGGCGCAAATCAAAAACAAATTTGATTACATACATTTTAATACAAAATTTCTAATTATAAATTTTTTACAAAAAAAAAAAAAAAAATAAAAATAAAAAATAAAATAAAATGTGCCTACCTTACAACTACTATAAAACCAATATTAACCTAATTCACAGTGAATTTCTGCACACCAACCGAGGTGAAATGCAAGAATGCCGAACAATGTATACCACGCTCTTGGGTATGCGATGGCAGCCCCGATTGCCGTGACAAATCCGATGAAGCTGATTGCAGTAAGCAATTACTTAATTAATTACTTTCGCAAATTCACATAAATATGAAAAAATATATTCAATGGAAATTTACTAAAAGCAAAACTAACACGTTGAAACAATTCAGGAATTTCTAAAAAAATATGGCAGCATGATAAATTACTAACGTACAAATTCATACATTCTCCTGTGGTTCATTCACATACATAAAAGAAGATGTGTCTCATTATTTAACGTGTAAATCTCTTGTAACCATAAATAATTACTTGTACTTAGCAACTGGGTGATGCTGTTAATTACTTGCATACATAAATAGAAAAATAAATATGTGCGTATAGCATTTTAGCGGGTTATTCCGACTTGAAAATACTCGTATGAAAAACTTAATTCAAAATTGAGCCATGAAACTGAAAACTATGATATTTCGGTCATGCAAGCAGCTAACAGCAATTACGGTTATTCTTATGTATAAAGTAAGCAACAATCAAATTAAATCGTGGTCAAAATTTGAATAAATTGAAATCAACAGGACCACAGTTACACCACCAGTTAACCGTTCGCAAACACACATAAACCGAAACCTCAGGCTGCACGCCTCGTAAAGCACGCCTAGCCACAGCCATTGGCGCAACAACAAAATAATAATGCTAAGCAACCAACTAAGCTAAGCTCATAGCTTTAAACATTTATATAAACATGTAGATACGAGTATATACATATAGCTACCAACTGAGTGTGGGCAACGCTGAAAGGGAAAAAACGCGCCATCATCTAAAAAACCAAATAGGAGTAGGCTCCCATGAGAGTTCTGTGCCTGCAAATTTCACGCGCGTGGCTGCGAGACGCAGTATTTCACTCACACTATTGTGACATATATTATATACGAGTTCCTATATATATATATATATACAACTATTGTATATTCAAAACGCGCGTGCCTATTTTGTATTTATCGTAGAGTAGAAGTGGTGGCTCTATAACATAATAATAACTGCATTAATACATATAAAGAGACAACAACAATAAATATTTATATTATAGTTATATATGTACATACAAATATATACATATACCATTAAATAACGCTGTATATGCATTAAGAAATATGTAGATATGCAAACATTCACACATATAAATCATTTTCTCTTGTGTGTGTGCGCGTTTTCGTTTTCCACTCTTTGTTAGCTCATTTGCTCGTGGTTCCGTTGCTGGTTTTATTGTTGGGGTTTTCCTAACTTTTGCTTGTCATCTTCTATTATTACCACATACTTACCATACAAATTGTGCTTGCTTTCAGTCTTTTTCTTCAGATACCCTTTCTATGGCGCGCCAAATGCTCTAATTTTTACTCAAATAGAAAAATTCATACACTGAGACGTTCTTTTCGTGATAGTAAAATTAATCTTAGAAATAAATTATTAAAATACAAATCCCTATGTTGCATTTAATGCTGAGTTGAAGAAAGTTTTGAAAAAAAAAACGAGAATTCTCGATGATTTATAACAATTAAAAAAAAGAGAAACAAAATTGATAAAATGGCAGCTCTATATGCAAATATGTAAGAATTGCACTTGTTTTAATAGTATCTTTTAACGCCGAATTTTGTAAGCGTTCCTAAGGATGTTTATGATGTTCATGATCCTTAAAAGTTACAGACATCTAGCCTGCAGAAGAATTTCTAGCACTCCATTCGTTTAACCGAAAGCTATTTCCGACTTAACCTTCCTGCATAATCCACAGATTTATAACTTTTCTACTTCTTAGTGGCAGTGTGTCACATCTTCCTCGCAACAGTCAAATACTTATAAGTTTTCTTAACCTCGCGTCAAAATCATCCTTCCAACACGCACACCGCACAGCACAGTGTGCTATCTGCTTTACATATATTTTTTATATACATTACATATATATAAAGGCGTAGCACTATTCATTTTATTGTACCTTTACCTCAAAAAGCCACTTAAAATGCGCATAATATTTGTTGAAAAGCAAAATTTCCCATACAAAGCCTGCAACTGAACGCCTTCGGCACATGTAATAAAGGGAATAAGCATTGTCAGCCATATGAACATGAATGTGTGGAAAAAGTAAAAAAATAGTCTCATGCTTTTGGAAAAGAATGTGCCAGGAAAATTAAAAGCAGCAGAAACAATACAGGGGATAGGAGAGCCTTGATAACTTTTTTCTTTTGCACGCTTTTGATGGAATAATGCAAAATTATGGTAATCATAAGCGCTTATTTGTATTTATATATGTTGGAATCGAAGAAGGAGTTAGCAATGATAAGCTAAAAAATATTTATGGAAAGTCAATAATGCATGACTAGCATTTGGGTCTGATTTGTTCAACACGGAAATGGTGTATATGTGTCAGTGTGTCAATGTGATTGTAATAAGAGAGTGTTTTGTACCTCCAAACTAGTTAATTTGAGTTTACAATTTAGTCGAATTCCAACTGAAACGACAACTAATGGTGTGACTTTATGAGATTTGAGTTAAATTTACCTCAACATTGTACATTGGTATTATATAAACATTCTTCTCGAATAATCATTAAAACAGGTACTAGAATTAAGGATTTCCGAGTTTTTTTCGCATATTTATAGGAGATGTTCCGAAATTATTCTAGCTGCAAAGTAAATAATCTTATTAAGGGACTTAAAACTATTATTGAATCGTTATTTAGTAATTTTTAGAATTTTAGAAAGTTTTCAGAGAAATAAATATTTGAATAACCGATAAACAAAATATTACTCATACGCAGTGGTAGTTTGTGACATGATGTGACATTTATTTAAAGCTGGTTTCATTCTCTCTTTCCAATGGACTTAATTTTTAACTTATAATACACGTGTTTGGTCTTTTGCGTGCATCCCTCTTCTTTAAAAAAAAAATCCACCAATATTAAATAATAAAAAATATTTGTTAAATTTGAATCAATAAAACCGATTTAGTATTAAAAGATACTTTAGAAACTAAGGAGCAGAGGTCGCAAACCTGATAGGTAGTTTATGGTCGTTTTATTGCAACTTAAGTCATTTTATGAAGGGGAGAAAGTTGCCCCATCAAAAATTGAAATCGATGAAAACATCGTTAAATTCAACTTTATTTCTAGTTTTTTATATATTGTGTGTGTCTCTCTCTCTCTCCTCTCTCTCTCCTTTCTCAATCTCTCTCTCTATCTCTTCTCTCTCTCTCTCTTCTCTCACCCTCTTCTCTCACCCTCCTAGAATATCTCTTAATGAGTACTGTAACCACTTTGTACAGAACCAACTGCCTTACGGCGCGGCATAAGCCTAATCTGTACAAGCATAAAAATTCTTATCATAAACATCTCACTTTCATACGCTTTGTGGTATCCAAGCAATTTTCAACATTGTCGACTGTTTTCACGTATTGTGTGCTATTAAGCTAAGCTTGTTGTTTTGTTTATGTTTCATACTGTTGGTGTACCCATCTTCATTTATACGTGTGCATGTGTGAGCGCACCTATTAATGTCGTCTAGACGAAGAAGTTTTTAACTTAAAGGTTAATTTTTGATCTGACAGCAAAAAGAGCAATGGCACCATTTAATTTTTTATTTCGCTTAGCACAGCAGTTTTAACTCAACCTTCCCATTGTATAACTTTGCTTTTCAGCTGGGCGCACCAGGGCGTATGAGTGATATTTTAATCTAAACACGGATTATTTTTATAATCTCACACTTGAAGCCTTAGCTGCCGGTTACACTTTCACACGCATACTTTTCTCTCACATTAAGGAGTGTCTGATATAAAAGTTGGTTTAAAATTAATTAATTGCAGATATGAACATTAAGAAAAATGTTTTTATATAGTTTAACTTTCGATAGCAAGAATATTATTAGTTTTCTTTTTTTGTTTATGTAGGAAACGGAGCTGACTATGTACCGCATTGACTTTTTACCCGATGGTTGAGAACTTTTAGGTTAGTTTTTTTATTTTTCAAGTTTAAATCGATTTGATTGGAAGCTGCCACTTTTTAACGAAAATACATATTGAGTATAAGTCAGACTTATTTGTTGCTTCCCCATTGTATTTAGGCGGTGATAAAGCGCTTTTATTTAATTATTCCTTAATTGATTTCTATTTTTTTTTTTTACTAAGCACCAAACCAATTTAAGATTTTGCTAATAGTGTTAACCCTTATGCAGACAATTCACGTGCATATTTACGTTTTGAGTGCGAGTTGTGATCTAGTGCACTAACACACACTAACTACTGACTAGCTGTTAATTAACTTTTTGCACGCTTGCTTTACTCAACTACTTACGCCAACGCATACACGCTGCAGTGAAAAGCTAAACCAATGTGTAAAAGTTCTAGTTAAATATTAGTATCATAAGGATGAAATCCCTTCAATGCACTAATTCATTGTAAATCGCCAGTCGTAGTGGCGAGGTAATTAAAAACTTCTAGCACTTTTTTGTGTGAATTCGTAACACGCCGCGACTGTGCTCCATTTTCTGATATGCTCTGTTGTCCTGTGCGAATTGTCGGTGCTGCTTATAAGAGGAGCGGTCAGGAACAGTCACTGTGGCAATATAGTCTGATCGTTAACAACTCCAGCAAGCAAATTCATTTTTACTTATGGCAACTGGCATTTGGTAACGTAGCAGTTAAATGTAAAGTGTCAGCAGTCAAAGGATCTTCTCTTTCATTTTCTTCTTATTACTTATGCATATAAAAGTTGGTGTTTTCTCGTTATGATAACCTCATAATTTATTGTTTGCTTGTTTTGAAATATTTGTGCGTGTGCATGCGTTAGCAACTTATCGTATTCGTTTACGAAATATAAGCCTACACACGCCTACAAACGGTCGCGTTTTCCGATTAGCGGTAAGTCTTTCGGCATACATATGCAGCTTTATTTACACATACACGTATACACATGAAAACGTTGAATTTCCCTAACGCAGCATGAGTCGCCCTTAGCATTCTAATGGTTCTTTCGAGGGCATCATGTTGCCTTCCGCCTTATGTGTTTATTTCTCTCCTCTATCT